TAGGCAATCATAGTTGATAAAATGTTGTAATGTTTTTGCCTATAAAAATTTGGTGTCATATAGGTTTTACGTAAGCTTTTTACCATTTTTGTCAATATTTGCGATTTGCCTATAAATATAAATATGGTGTTGTGTCATTGTTGTCTAACAATAAAAAGAAAAATGTTAAATGAAAATATCAGTTAAATATACACCGTTCAAAATTACCGCCAGCAGCAAAAAACTCTAAAAGGATGGCAATTACCGGCTTGCAATACATGCCATGTGACGTTACCGGCGGCAAATCAATTGCCACACCATGCAGCCTCATGATCATAAAATTGTACAAGACAAAATTCTAAAGCAAGATATATATCAAGATCTTTTGGTTTTATTTTACTTTTTTAGTTTTTTATTTATAAGTATATTTTTAAGTCTTTAAATCTTTAAAAAAATGGTTATTTTGGTTCAAAAATCTTATGCAAAACCTAAAAATTTATCTTTTCAGCCTAAAATTCTTGATCTATAAAGTTTTACAACTCCATCCATTTTATTTTGAACTAGTTTATAATCCGTGAGAACCACGGTTATAAAATTAATTAAATTTTCATAATTAAAAAATCAAAATTATTAATCATTTATTTTGTATGATTTATTATTTTAAGAGATATTTTTTTTAATTATATAAAATTATAATCGTTGATTTAAATAAATACGTAAAATTATATCACCTTATAATATGTATTAATTTTATTTTATATTTTAAATCTAATGTTATTAGTTTAATATAATTAGAGTGTAAAAAATTTAAAATGACAAATCAATTATTAATTTAATGTAATTAAAGTAAGAAATTTTAAATTTGAAATTTATAATTAATAGGTTAAGAGGTTGAATGATAGGTAATATATAACATTAATGAAAAGGTCTAAAGGTTTGATATTTATCACTAGAAAAATAAACATATTCATTTATTAGACTAGGTTGGTTATTTTATGATTGCGTGCCTCTGTATGTCCATCGTCACAATGATTGTTCTTTTGTTCTCTTTATGTTTTAGATGGTTTCTTTTAAATTATTTTGGTTTGCATCTACAACTATGATATTGTTTAAGGCGTTAAAGTTATTCAACTATCCATGTCTTTACTGTTGAACGACAAGATCTTTTTAGTACACACTAACAAGATACTACAAAAACAAAGGATTAAAAGTTCATACAAGAGTATTTAAGCCACTAATGACTTTAATCACCATCAAGTTATAATGAGTATGTCCAACTAAGACATTGTGAGTAAATTACTAAATTTGGAGTTTAGTTCATTTTGGTGTGATATTTCTATCCCGATTTTATCTTATGATCACTATCATGCAAAACATAAAATATCATAAGCAAGATTTCAATCATAACAATCTTTTTGCAAACCACTCAAGTTTTCACTGATTAATTCAGTCTGAAGTTTCATTCATAGGACTTTGAGAATACAAGATTAGTTTGATTCATAGGATTTCGAGAATACAAGATTGAGGTCTTATCAAACTTCTCAAACCATATCTGATATGTGTATATTAATAATTTTGGGTTATGTTTTGTTATTATCGAATATAATATAGAATAAAATTATATTTAGTATTTTAGAGATGCATGAGGGTGTCACATTTTATTGAAGAGATTAATTCAAACTTTAATGGAGCCTCAGTCGATGTTTAAGAAACGGAATTAGACTCTTGGCAACAACGCTAAGCATCAAAGTGCAGCCTCACCTCCGGTGTTTACATTGCTTAACTATTCTAGATTTTGAATCTCATATTGACAATAATGTTAAGCACCAATACGATTCATTGCGACCTTTCGCATTGATTCGCATCCAGTCGCATGCAATCTGGATCCCTTTCGCACTCAAAATCTTATTCGCAACCAGTATCCTTTTCACAATCAGGACCAGACCCAGCTTGGAACTTAGACCAACTTCGGAATACGAACTCATCTCGGACCATAACTCAGATTCGTATCACCTACTATCCAAGTGAGATTTTGATTTACATTTGATCATGTATCCTATTTGTGGTTTAAAAATGGAGAACGTGTAGCATGTTATCTTTAGATGTGTCATTCACTCATTGTGGTATCTAGATGAAACATCTCTTTGTATTAGATCAACATTCTTTAGGTATGTTCAATAACACACAAATCTTTAAAAAAATATGTCCTTGTTTTTTTATAAAGTTTTCAACTATTTGGATTATCAATAAGTTTTATTGTTAAAGTCTCTTAACTTACATTTTCAACAACACCAAACACCACCATTGTTTCTTAAAAACACAGAATTGAGAATTTGAGATTCGTTTGTTTCGTGGACCAATTACCAAAGCCAGTAATTTGGAAACTTGGAGTTAATTTCTTAGTATTTATTTACGTAAACAAAAACGGGGGTGTAGCTCATATGGTAGAGCGCTCGCTTCGCATGCGAGAGGCACGGGGTTCGATTTCCCGCACCTCCATTTTTATCCGTAATTTTTCACTTTCTAGCACCAAATATATGACTCGTAATCCATAACGAGTTTATTTTTTCCTTAAATTTCCTATTGGTTTGATGATTAAATTAAAAATTTTAACAAAAGTGATATATATTTTTAAGGCCATTGACTCATTATTTTAAAAAATAATAATACAACAATTCGTCGTCATACTAAAAGTTGGTCAAAATGTACAAGTGACAAAGAAGATGGTACTACAAAGTGCAAAGAATACGTGTAAATGGTGAAAGGAAAGACCCATCGGTTAGCTTTTTGTGGTCCACTTGGGCTCGAACCACGAACCTAAACCTAAGCCTTGTTGTGGTCCACTTGGCTCGAAACGAACCTAAACCTAACCCTTGGTGTCATTATTCGTCCACTTGTCTACTGTATGCCTTAGTTTTTGTTTTTGGGTTTAATGATAATAATAATAAAAAAACGTGTTCAGTTCCAATAATTCTTTTTATTAAATTTATATTTCAAAATCATATTCGTTATATATTTATTTTCAATTTTCAATGCATAAACTATCAAAGATTAAAAGGCTAATATTGTTTTAATATATTGGTCACAAACTTATACTCTTAAGGTCTCGGACGTATCAAGTGTACATTTTATATATATATATATATATATATATATATATATATATATATATATATATATATATATATATATATATATATATATATATATATATATTCTTATTTCATTTAATAGTATATACTTTCGATTAAAATTAAATATGTTTTGAAATAACTGATAATATTTTTAAGGATATTGTTAAAAAAAATTCATTATGTTGTCTTAGGGGGTGTTCCGAGTTACTTTTAAAATGACTTTTGGCTTCTATCTTTTCTAAAAAGTTAAAAAAAAAATAAATAAAATGTATTTGGGTAATAGAAAAATGCTTTTGAAAATGACTTTTGCATAGAGGAAAATAAGGGTTTTCTAGTCACAAAATCCTTTTGTGATTTACATGTAAAAGTTGATACAAAAGTCATTTTGTTAATCTAAACACTTTTTAAAGAACTTCTTTCACAAAAAGTTATTTTATTAAAAGTCCTATAAAAAATTTATGATTTTGAAAAACAATCACAAACACCCCCTTAATTTATGGGAAAGTCTCAACTATTATTTTTGAACATACATGTTTTGATTATCTAATCTTACATGATAATCTATCATTTTCGATTAAAAAACAAAATATGAATTTTCCGTTAACTTAAGTAAAATATTAGATAATCAATATTTTTATGTTTAAAAAATAAACACCTTGTTTCTGAGTTTTAAAAAAAAAAAAAAAAATAAAGGGGGGAAATAAGTAGAAAAAAAAAAAAAACAAAGGAGAAAAAAAATGAAAAAAGAAATCATTATTTCTTTTCAAATCATTCCAAATTAGAAAGAAACATTTCATTTTCTTTCATGTCTTTTCATTAAAAAATCTAATTTTCATTTTCATCCATTTTTTCCACTCCGCTTGTTGAAATACGAACAATGTAAAAGTTGAAATTTTTTATAAACTATAACAAAATAATAAAACTTTGATATGTGTATAAAAAAATATATAATACAGTCCCATTTCCATTTTTTATATTTAAAAAGGAGTGAGATATTTCTTAAAAGGGAATATAATATAAATATATGAGAGAGATGTCGATTCTAATTTAAATCAAAGAAAAGTATGTATGATTGTTTGGAGTGAAAAAAACAAAATTAGGGTGGAAGATCTTCTATTCTAGTGTCCAAATTCGTCCAATTGTGGGTCGGAAAAATTTAAGATTTATGGGCCTACGTGGAGATAACATTTTATAAAACTCAAAGTATGAGAACAAATGTATTTACGGTGTCTTCGAGATAGGAGAATGTTTGGAAGTGTCTAGCTTTTAACTATTTGAAAGTTTCTAGTTTCTAACGTTTGGCAAAACGTTCCATTTTGAATAGAAAATAACATTTGGCACTACAAGCTTTTAACGTTTACTTTAAACAAAACACTCTAAATCTAAAAGTTACCACACGTATCGTTTAACAAAACGTTACCCACTACCTGCTAGTTTTGCCGAACACGCTCTTAGAACCGCAAGTATTGTCCAAAAAAATAGAACCGCAAGCATTAAATAAATAAAATCATTAATTTTATCACACCGTTGTCAGTTTATTTGACATTTGTTTTTTATATGGCATGTTGATTTGTCTTAATTTGGTGACATTTATCAAAATAAATAAATAAAATGTAATAATTTTTATACAATTGGATATCATCATTAAAATAATGCCAAAACAAATCATCAATGTAATTTTAAATGGAAAACAATATACACTATAACAATCAATACACTACATATAGTGTAGGGAAGATCATAACAAAAAGATACATTGATGATGATTTGTCTTGTTGAAATTTTCATTATTATTATAATGAGACCAAATTGCACAAATGTTACTATATTTTGTATATCACAAAAGTAACTATATTTTTGTTTTTTTCGATTTTGAAATTTGGAGTATGATGTCATCAAATAGTGACACGTTAGTATGTCATGTCAACTGACAACCACCGAATGACCGGTAATTGGTCTAAGAGTGAAACAAATTGGAAAAATCAATGTTGTTTGAAACCGAAAAACAAATTATCAAAAAAAATAATAAATAAATAAATAAAATAAAAAAATAATTAAAAAAAAAAACATAATGACTTTTATGTAATTTACCCATTGATTTAAAATATAATCTGATTAATTTAACTGATTCAACCAAGTTCGTGGATTAATTTTTTAAGAACGATAGGAGTTGTATAAAAAGGGAGAAAAAAAATGAACTCGTAAAAAGCTAATGGGTTAATACAAAACCACACATAAATCAATAAATCCACACAGTATTAAAATATGAATAAGTATTTGCTTAAAAAATATATATATATATATATAGAGAGAGAGAGAGAGTTAGGTTCAAATGTTTTCAATAACTATTGTGTGCCTAAATGCACCAATCACAATTTAGCAAATTATTAATTAATTTTTTTAATCCATAAGGGTAATTATGTAATCTTTCATTTTAATTCCTTTTTTAATCTGGGTCTTATCCCTTTATATTAGACAATTTTCTTTGATTGATTTATTTATCTTTAATGTAATTTTCTCTATATAATTGAATTTAACGTCCGATCAAAAACACAGATCACAATTCTCGCATACATACTCTGCCGATCAATTTGTGTTACTCATTCGATGGATGTTCATTCTGGAAATCAAAACCGGGTATTGATACATATTTACAAGCTTCTTTCAACGTTAATAAAATGATTTTGTTTCAAATTTCTCCCACACACCCTTTTCTTCAATTTGATAATATTCCAGGCAAACGATGATGATCAAAATCCCGGGAAGGATTTGGGTAATGTCAATGATTCCAAGAATCCGGTGAATAAAGTTGTGAAGAAAATAAGAAGATGTAAAACATGCTTTGGAGTTGGTCATGATAGCAGAAATTGTCCTTCTGGATTGAAGAAATCATAGAACTACAAGAACTTCATCAAATTGGACGTTTTTAGATATTATTTAGTTGGATTTCAGTAAAATAAAAGTAGTTTTTGAGGAATTATATGGTATTATCAAGTTTCAGTTCAGTGTAATAAAGTTGTCGTTTGATGAATTCTATGTGCTTTTCTTTAAGTATTATGGTTAAAATTAATAAGTTGTTCTTGTTCTATGATATATTTATGTGTTATATGATCATACAGGTTATCTTTCTAACAGAATATCATAGTAGAGTCGAGTTAACAAGAGTTGTTTATGCGTGCATTGATTCGAGTTAACAAAAATTGATATGTTTTATAAGTCATACTTCCGATAGCATTCTGATAGAATTATTTCATTCCGATAACATGCAGAGTTTTGTAAGGCATATTTATATATCATTCTAATCGAATACTTTCGTTAATAAAATATTCTGCAACTTTTCTTTAAAAAAATACATAATTTTATTGTTAAGTAGTTAATATAATGTAATGTTGGAATTTTTTATATTTGGAATGTGAATATAGTACCGTTTTTCATGTTTTCCCTTTATCATGTTTTTAAAAAAAAATCAAATCGGAATCATTTATTTTTATCAATGATCCCTAATATCAAGGCTTTTAATTTGCATAGAATCCGTTTTAATCCCTATCTGGTTTGTATGACATTTTTAAATATTTTGATTTTTTAACTAACAAAGCATAGACAAACACTCTCGGATTTTCGTAGCAATGGGCGATCAAGAAGCAGATGTCAATAATCATATGTACGAGGAACATTATTTGGCTAGTGATGATGAAAATGGAATTGAAGATTTCGATTTTCCTGATAATGATACACTATATAATGACGGATTTCAAACAGGAGAAAGCAGTAATCCTAATTTAGGTTAGTTTTTTGATTTTTTGTTTAATTTTTCATTCTGTTTTCAGATTCTATATTGTTAATACTTCCATTGTTGAACATACAGAGGAGGCAAATAATGATGAAGACGAAAATCACTTTGTTGATGAAGATATAGAGGTTAATATTGATTATAGTGAAGGTAATAAATTCAATTCATGATACTGAAGTTGCTACAGAAAAAAGTTAATATCGATTTCATTGAAGGTACTAATTTCTTTCAGAATGATTATGTATTTTCTATTTTAAACAGGACAACCACATGTTACTCATGAAGATACAGAGTTTAATATTGATTTCATTGAAGGTACCAATTTTGAATTCAGAATTTTCTATTTTTTATTTTTTACAGAAAAAATAAAATTGTGTCAGAATAAAAGTTATATAATTCTTTCATAATAATTTTGTATTTGCTATGTTTAAGCAGGACAACCACATGTTACTCATGATTATGTTTCTCCTGGTGGCACCTTGTATTGGACTCCGATTGTTTTAGACGACATCAAACCAAAAGTTTCATCAAAATTTAATTCATATGGTGAAGCAGAAACAATGTATAGAAAATATGCATTAGAATCTGGTTTTGATGTCAGGCTTGGAAGAGTCCAAAAAATGAAAAATGGGATTATTACAAATAGACATCTTGTGTGCAATCGGGAAGGTAATCCGAATAGTAGTAAACTAGATACTCTAGATATTCGGCATAAGAAGACTCAAAGAAGGAAAGATCTATTTAGGAGGAATTGTAAAGCGAAAGTTGTTTTAGAAATAATTCCCGGTACTCTTACATATGTCGTGAGTGATTTTGTAGAGCGACATAATCATGAGTTGTTTAGCAAAGGAATATGCACTTATCTCATTCAAAAAGAAAACTTGATTATTCCCAAGAAATTTTCATTCATAATTTGTCAAAACAGAACATTGGTCCTGTAAAAGCACATAGACTGTATAGTGCTCTTCAGGTTGGTCCTTCGGTTCGAGGTGGATTGGTTACTGATTTCAAGAATGCTAGGAGGGATCTTAATTGTTACATAGGTGGGAGGGACGCGAAATTCCTTGTTGACAAGATGAATGATAGGAAGAAAAATGTCCCATCATTTACTTTTGAGTATAAAGTGTCGAACAACAGATTGAATTCTTTATTCTGGGCTGACGAAACAGCAAAGTATAATTACAATTCATTCGGAGACGTTATATCAATCGATGTCACATTCAGCATGAATAAGTATTTATAACCTTTAATATTTTTCAATAAGAATTTCATTATTTCCATTTATGTAAACTAATATTTTTTTTTAAATAGGTATGATATGGTTTTTGTACCGTTTACTGGCATTGACAATCACAAAAAATGTGTAACATTTGGTGCTGGTCTTTTAAGTAAAGAAGATGGAGTTTCTTATGAATGGTTGCTTAGAGCTTTTTTGAAAGCTTTTAGAAAACAACCTCAATTGGTTTTATCTGATCAAGATCCAGCTTTGAAAAAAGCTATAGATAAGGTTTTCCCATTGGCACATCATAGGTTATGTATGTGGCATATAACGAAGAAGTTGCCAAATAAGGTATACATAAAAAGAATACTATTCTTATTTTTTTGGTATGATTATACAATGTTTTCTCATATTCTGTCAGAATGTTTTGTTTTAAACAAAAACATTCAATTGCATTAACTCGTAACTTTTCTTATCATTCTACAATTTCTTTTAAAATTCTGCATTCGTTATCTCATATTCTAACATAATCAATTCATGTTAACAAACCCATTGTCTTTAACTCTTACTTTTTGTTATGATTATACAATTATATCATATTCTGGAAGAATGTTTTGTTTTAACCAGAATTAATTGCATTAACTCTTAATTTTTCTTATCATTCTACAATTTCTTTTAAAATTCTGCATTCGTTATCTCATATTCTCACAGAATCAATTCATTTAACAAACCCATTGTCTTTAACTCTTACTTTTTGTTATGATTATACAATTATATCATATTCTGAAGAATCAATTGGTTTAACTCTTACGTTTGTTCTGATTCTACAATTAATTTTCCACATTATAACTTCATGATATCATATTCTAACAGAATGAATTTATACAGATTTTATCAATTGAGGACGCAACAACCAATCAAAAATTTCGAAAGCGTTTTCACTCTATAATTTGGAATTCTAAGCTGGAACCACATGAATTCGAAAATGTGTGGCGTCAGATGTTGGAAGAGTTTAAAATTACTGATAACACTTGGATGAATACAATGTATGGATTGCGAAAATCTTGGATCCCCGCATTTTTCAAGCACATTCCAATGTCTGGTCTTATGCGGACTACATCGCTGTCTGAAAGTCAGAATTGGTCATTTCAAACAACGACACTAACCGGTTCTTATCTTGTTATGTTTATGATGACATTTGAATCAGTTATGGAACGACAACGACATAACCAAATTCTCAATGATTTTAATACTGCCACCACTTTTCCTAAATTCATTACCCGTACTCCGTATGAACCTCATGCTTCAAATGTATATACACGAAATATTTTTTATCAGGTTCAGAAGGAGATATCAAGATCTGAAGATAATTGTTTCCAAAAGAATGTGATATTCTTCCAACGGTGTTGACACGATTATTGTTATAGAGAAAAGAAAGAACATAACTATTAGGCAAACAAATGATGTCGATGTTGATGACAAAGATGAGGAATACAATTACGATTGTCTTATAAGGGATACTGAATACATGGTATGTTTTTTTTTCACATTAATTGTCATTTTATCATTTACATTTAAACACTAAAAATTTACAACTTAATTATTTTCATTAATCATCTTATATTTTCCAGGTCACACACTCAACTAAAGATGGTTCATTCAAATGTACTTGTATGCATTTTGAACATTTAGGTATCTTATGCAGACACATATTCTGTGTGTTTAAGTTTTATGGCATCGAACAAATTCCTGAAAAGTACATTTTGAAACGTTGGCGTAGGGATGTCATTCCAACAGAATTACTGAAAAGACGCTTCAATAATTCTTTCGACGATTCTACTTCCGACATGACTGCTATTGATATTTTTTCAACTGTTGACCGTTGTGTGTCTTTTTTGAGCCACGATGCAGCAAAGTTAAAGTTATACCTTGACGAACAGAATAACTTGAAAAAAAAATTCGTAGACAACTGTTCAAATCATGATCTACCGACCAGAGCAGATCATTTCAAGCAGCTTTTAGGTGTGGTTGTTCCTGATATAGAATCTGATGTTAATGACATTCAGAATCCTACAGATATTCGTAACAAAGGCTGCGGTAGTCGTGGAAAAAGATTAAAATCTACAAAAGAGATGATTGAGAAGAAAATCTCGAAACCAAAGAGAAAATGTGCTATATGTGAACAGATGGTTCATCATGACAAAAGGAATTGTCCTCTAAAGAACACCAAGAAATAATTTCCTTGTTTTTTTTTAGTTTATTAGAATGACATTTGATTTAATTCTGTCGATTCACACTTATTGTTATCTTTTATGTCGTTCAATAAAGTATTCACTTTTATTACTATTGACATCGACATTGTCAATCAACATAACAATATTCATATTATCTTATTACTTTAAAATAGTCTTAAAACGTAATACAAAAATTCATTCCATTGACTGTATAAATTCATTATTTTCAAAACTTCTAATACAAAATTTCCATCGATTGTATAATTTACAGCAACATATACAAATTCTTTCAATCATTTTAAGTTTGATTTTAATGTTAACAAAAATGTTTTATTATTCACTGTAATATACAAACGATACATGCAATTTGTATACAAGAATTCATTATATTTATATCCTATTTCATAATATCTACATAACGTATTCTACCAGAATCATAACAAATACTACCTTGCATCATCATCATATAATTTGTAAAAAAAAAAAATTTCTATTCACAATATTCACAAAACATTATTAACCACAACATTGAATTATATTAACAAAATTATTAGAAACAAAAAAAACATCAACACATGCACTAGTAATATTAAGTTGCATTATATGAAAACTACATTACTAACAAGAACCTTAGATTTTCACAATGCACAACATCATCATCCCAGAATTTAAACAACGCATCAACACACCCATTATACGAAAATTACCATTCCATTATAACATATATCGAATACTACTGATAACATTACTTCATAACGTCTGATAGACAATCTACTTTTTCAAACATCTAACATAAGGCAGAGTCATGTTTCAACATTCAAAAAAACAAGTTCAGCTCATGACATATCAAAGTTATCTGTCAACTTATTAAATACCACGCCAAATTCTTACCTACGACCCTTTGTTTTTCTTTTTTTCTTCTGTTTTCATCTGACTCTCTTAGAAGCATATCTTGTTCCAAAATATCAAGCTTACGAAACGCTTCAATATCTTTAACTATCATACTCTTGAACTTATTGAAATCAGATGTCAACAATCTTGCCATGTATTTTGTCCTTAGCTTAATTGTAGCACTCACATCAGCAGGCATTTTACCTGTAAGACCACACTCCCAACGCCCTTCATATTCCCCCATGTACGTTTCCATATGCCTCATGAGGTATATTCCACATTCTGTTCCAGCTTTTTCGACTAGCCAAGATATGTTCATCACACGTGCTGCTTTAAAAGTTAACGTTTTTGCCATTGGATGATGTTGTGATGTCAAGTAGTTGCAAAACAGTTTTTTCTGGCATTAATTACAACAAATACATAAAAAATAATCTTATAATATTCCTTAGAATGGAAAACTATTAATCAGAAATTTATTGATTATCTTACCACCAGGTTTGGTATCATGCCATACTTTCTTTCCAAAGTTCCTGTTCTCTTCACATGATCTACTATGTAGTACAAACTTGATCTCAGATCAAAGATGAGTAAGTAATACTTTCCATCATCAACTATTGGGAAGAAAACCTTGTACACATTAAAAGAAGAGGTTACGTTAATATTAATTGATGCCACAAATATTATATTTATAAAATAATCTTACAAGTGCAACGTCTCTAAAACTTGGCTTCACGTCAAATTTCTTAGTGTAGATTCGCAATAAAGTAGCAAAAAGCCTACATTTCATATCTTCCGACTTTAGCTCATTCAATATATCTTCTGTCTGAAAAACCCCAACTCAACATCAATATTAATTCTACAGAAATAAATTTGATTTAAAATTTTTTTTTACAACATAAATTCATACCACAATAGTTGTATCGAAAAAAAATCTTGAAAGCGATGACTCATCCTTGTAGTTTTCCATTTTATTTAAAAACGCAGCCCAACAATCAATTATTTTAGAATGCAAAAACATTCCATGATTAAATTGATATGCAAAACCCTGGTGCAGCAAATGACCTGTTCCAATGTCCCAAATCTCATCCCTGTGAAAAAAAATATGTATAACATCAATTTTAAAACATTCATTTTAAAATTATAGATAAATATAATAGGTGACACATATATAAACATATATATAAATACATACCCATCATCTCTTGTAGATGCAAAAACTGAATTGCATATACATGTTTCATCCTTAGACAGTTTTTCCCCAACCTTAACAATTCTTTCAATATAGGGCGAATTAAATACTTTTGCTTTTTTAGGAATGCGTTTTTCCCTTTTGTCATTATCATCATATCCTCCAGCATTATCAACAGCTTCTCTTATATTTCTTCCTACCAGATTATCCCTACTGATTACTGACATTTGCTTTTTCTTTTTATACACTTGTAACTCAGTTTCCTCCAACAACTTGATCATTTCGTCATTCACCCCTGGAAGTCGATGAAACTGAGTCATTGTTAAAGAAGTCGTATCAACAGGTGTGGTATAATTGTCGTCCTTTTCAGTATTTACTTCATTAAGTATCAATCCTCTAACAGGTGAACTATTTCCTTCACCGCCATCACCTACATCATTCATATTTACCTCATTAAAGCAGGCAGGCTCATGCACTTTTTGGTTACCTACCCCTTTAAATACTCCCTTAAAAAGTTCGTTCATTTTCTCCATCCACTCATTCAGCACCACACTATGAGGGAATTTTAACAACCCATCCTTCAACGCAACCTCCATAGTACTTTTCTCTGTTACAATAACCCCATAACTATGCTCTATAACAGTTGCGTATGCCTGATACACATATAATTAATAAATGATAACATTACAAAAATGTGTACTATATATTCTATTAGAATATATCATTAACTATTACTTTCATAATATTTACTTCATAATCTACCATAATATTACCTCTTCATCTCCAAAATCCCTCTTAAAGCTTAGCATTTGCTGTTCTTCAGCTCCTGTTTCATCGACCATATCGACATCATCATGCTCATCCCGAAACTGCCTCCCGAACCCTCCCAAACTGATTTCTAATTTTTGAACCTCTAACAATTTAGCACCATTTATATGCCCAATAAAAGGAAGCCTTTTGTCTATCTTGATAGAATACTTCATGTTATACACGTACACCAACTGAAAAAAAAAACATTAACTTAATCAATACATCAATAATAAATCGATACGAAATATATACATTCATATAAAAATATTTCAAACTTACAATCAGAAGTGTAATAGGACCACTGTAGTAGCTTGATTTGTCATCCCTTTTCCATAGTTTTTTTCTAGAGCCCAAACAATCAAGCATATATTTACACCAATTTAACTTTGAGAAGTCTTCTACCAACACCAACTTCCTTACCACTTTTATTTGATTTGTTCCCATCAACATTGACTCTATGAAGTTGTTAACAAATAGGGTCAAAAAATTCAGCCTAAACATCAAATTATCCTTCGTTGTAGCCTGAATCCTTCTTAAATACTCCTCACCATTGAACTTATCACCACTATATTGTCCCCTCCATTCCTCTAGAATTTGATTTCCCTTATCACACAATGGTAACTCATTGATGTCTTCTCCACCAAATGGCAACCCCATCATATCATGCACTGTTTGTTCTGTTATCTCAATAACAGAGTTTTGTAGGACAAGTCTTTTACTATCTGCGTCATAAACATCTAAAAGATAGTAGCTAAGTTGTCCCGGATAACTTGTAATATTCACTTGCAGAATTGATCCAAAACCCATCCTCAAGATTGCTTGTTTCTGTTCCGGCGACATTCCCATAACAGCTGCAGTGATGTTATCACATTTCATTCTGGTTGGAAGGTATCTTAAACCAGGTGGGTATTCCTTATTTGTTTTTCTAACATTATCTTCTTTTTCTTCTTTGACGTTTTCAGCAATTCCCTTATTTTTAAAATGTTTTACAATTGGAACTCTATCAAATTGCCTCTTCGACCTTATCTCTCTTTCCAAAATTAGTGCATTTAAAGGTTTAGGAGTTGTCTTTTGTTCAACTGCTTTATCAAGTTTTTCCTTTGACCTTCTTTCTCGGTTCAAATGTTCTTCTTCATGAATTTGATCGGCTACAACAAACAATAGATAGCATAAATTTTCATTACAGAGTTAACTAATAAAACAAGTAGGCTAACTCTACAAGAATAAAATACATTTAATTTAGAATTCTATCAGATTCATACAATCAAATTTCACACTCATATATAATATCACATTCTATTTAGGAGTGTTTAATAGTCAAACAAGTCGACTTATGCTAGCAGAATATCAACCATTTTCAGTTTCATATACACAGAACATTCTTTTAGAATATGAAACATCTAAGCTTATTTCACATACAAACACTTAGATATAGAAATTTAGATTACAATTCAGCCAGAATATGAAACATGTAACCTTATTCTACATACAGTAACTATCAATTCTTCAGTATCATTCATTAATCATCTACATACTATGTTTCCATTAGAATTAAAATTATATATAAAATGCTATTTAACTGCTTCAGTATAGAAATTTATCTTACAAATATACTTATTCTATCAGAATATCAACAATGTTCAAGTTCTTCTACACATTACATTCTAATAGAACGTGTTTTTTTGCATACTTATTCCACATACAAAAACTATGAATTTTTCACTTAAACATGCTAATTAACTATTTAAATTTAAAAAATTAGATTACAACTCTACCAGATTATTAACAATATTTAGGTTGACATACACAAAACATTCTATTAGAATATACTTATTCTATCAGAATATCAACCATGTTCAAGTTCTTCTACACATTACATTCTAATAGAACGTATTTTTTTTCATACTTATTCCACATACAACAACTATGAATTTTTCACTTAAACATGCTAATTAACTATTTAAATTTAAAAAATTAGATTACAACTCTACCAGATTATTAACAATATTTAGGATGACATACACAAAACACTTATTCTATCAGAATATCAACCATGTTCAAGTTCTTCTACACATTACATTCTAATAGAATGTGTTTTTTTGCATACTTATTCCACATACAACAACTATGAATTTTCACTTAAACATGCTAATTAACTATTTAAATTTAAAAAATTAGATTACAACTCTACCAGATTATTAACAATATTTAGGATGACATACACAAAACATTTATTCTATCAGAATATCAACAATGTTCAAGTTCTTCTACACATTCTAATAGAACGTGTTTTTTTGCATACTTATTCCACATACAACAACTATGAATTTTTCACTTAAACATGCTAATTAACTATTTAAATTTAAAAAATTAGATTACAACTCTACCAGATTATTAACAATTATTTAGGTTGACATACACAAAACATTCTATTAGAATATAAAAAATGAAACCTTATTCAACATACAATGACTACTATATAACAACTTAAAGTTCAGAACATTTTCAAGTTTCTTAATAAAATACGAAATTTAAACACATTTTTCTTCCAAATATTACAAATCTACCAGAATATCAACATTATTCTGGTTCATATACAGAACATTCTATCAGAATATCACCATGTAACATTATTCAACATACAATAACTACGATTTTTTCAGTTTTTATGTACTAAATCATATACAAATTGTGATTCCATTAGAATTTAAAACCTGTTTAAAAGCTAATTAACAACTTAAATATAACAATTTACTTTACAATTTTAACCAGTAAAACAAGCATACTTATTCTACTAGAATAACAACCACGTCCACGATCATATAAACCGAACATTCTTGAAGAATACCATACACAGTAACCATTCTTAATAAAATATGAAAAAATGACACATTTTTTCTTCCAAACCACAAATCATACATGCATATAAAAGATTTTCAAAAACACTTCCTAAATTCTACTACATTTTTCGAACTAAATAAACATTAAATAACACAATAAAATTATTACCTTCAGTTTCAGCAACGTAATCATCATTGTCGTCTTCAAGATTCAACGCCGTTTCTACTGTGTTCTTGAACTTTGACTTAAATGAACTGGATCGTGTACTCCTCATTGTTGCAGAATACCGCTAATATAACCCCCAAATGTCGATTTCGTTTTCTAGGGTTAAATGTCGATATTTATAGGGAAAACCTACAAACGATCTTCCGATTTTTGAAGACTGATTACAATAAATCGGAATGTTTTTCAACCTCCTAAGGATTTGGGTTCTTGATTATGAGAGTAAGCGAGATATTTGGGATTATCGGTTGATCATTCCATATTATCCACCGTTTCCTAATTAAATGACGGGGCAAAATACCATTCTACCCTTGTTTGACCGGTCAATTGATTAAACCTCATTTATTTGATTTTTTTATATTTAATTTAAAAAGAAAACCACTTTCTTAAATTACCATAAATGATTGGCCTACATTCATTTACATGGGCACACAATACTTATCAAAAACAAAATAACCTAACCCTATATATATATATATATATATATATATATATATATATATATATATATATATATATATATATATACACACACACTGATTCACATGTAAATATTACTTGAATACTAAAGGTGAAGAGTTAGTACTAAATATCGCATGTATCGGTAACGAATTTGAACATATAGGATGATTCTTGAAACTCTAAAATTACGAAATTTAGGATTCGGTACAGATGCTAATACCCGAAAATTGGTACCCTTCCCAGTACCGATAATGTTAGTTCAATTCGGTACTCGTATCATTTTCATCCATTTTGGTATGTGAGATCCTCAAGTCCGGTTCCGTCTTATGTTCATCCTTAGTGAATACATAGATTCACATAATCAGATATGAAAGCATATGTATGGATAAACATATACTGATTCACATGTGAATATTATTTGTTTTGAAAATTATACTTTGGAAAAAATAAATATACATACAAGATTGGCATGTTGGGTTGCCATAGATGGCCGACACTAACAAATAAACCACGAAGATAATATATTTGTTGTTATATATTTTTAATGACTTCAACATTTTTTTTCATGTGAATGGGTTATATATACAGTTACATCTCTCTTTATTTCTTAATGGAAAGTCGATCAAACTGTAACATCGGTTCATCTTCACCATCTAACTATTGAAAAGATTACAGAGATCGATATTTGTAAATTAAAGACATGGACCGGATATATTTGATCACCTTGATATCATTTTAAAAAATGAGAAACAGTATGTTTTATGTCATGAATGCATGTGGAAATTAGAAATTGCATCTCTTTGAAGCATGCAGAAAGGTAGTTACCACATAACACAAGAAACTTGCCAACATGTACATGCAATTATAAATAAGTTGTGGGCCCCATGTTTACCAATCTTTCGCTTTCCGAGAAACCTAGAGACAGTTTGTCAAAAAGATTCTCGTCTCAAACCTCCAAAACTGCAAAACCATAACCATAACTGCCAACATGATGAAAGAATTAAAGAGCAAGATTTAATTAGAATAAAAAAGCTGATAAAGATTTTACAAAAGGGGCAAAATATTTTTCTGTAATTCTTGATTGTACCTCAAATGTGCCCGAGGGCAAGGGCAAAGGCAAGGAAGGTGATGTCCAGCCCTGAACCTGAGATCTTACTTATGAAGGTGATTCTCAAATCTCAATCAGAATGTATCGTATTTGGACGAATTTGCCCCTGTTTGAAATGGCAGGTTTTTCATGGACTATAGTTGCCCTAGTTTTGGAATCCAGGACTAGGGCACATAAGACATTGTTTGAATAGTGTTGTAGCTTTCAAATCCATGGTGTCCAACCTTCGTACATATTGCAGAGGTTATCCACATTTGTTGCTTGCCTAACCAAATAATCAACTTGCTCTGCAATACTTATATCTCTGCACCCATGAAATTTTAAATTCTTTTTATATTTATTTGTGATAAATAAATTTCAGGTAGAAGTACAACACATATATACATATGTATGTACCTGTTATCAGTGATATCTCGACCTTCTATTTTCATTTCTACTCGCCTTAAAACTGACACGGCATATGCATTTTTACCTACTCAAACATCAAAAACCAATAACCAGATGAGTTTCAAGTCTCAACAGATTACATGCAAAGTAATGGAATGAATGATTACATTCAACGATCATGTTTGGTTCGCCTGCAGGAATGAATGATTTTTCTTTAAATTTTATGTCTTATGTAAATGTTTTAGTTTTCATTCAACTGAAATAATGAAGTCATAAACCATTCATTTCCTTAGCCAATTCCATTATACCAAACACTAACTAAAAGAATTAAACTTGACAAGATTTGAGGAGGAATGGGAGCTTTTTTATTTTTTTTTAAAATTACCTTTTACCCTGCTGGCTTGGCCTGTAACATGTACATTTTGCATAGGTGATTTATGGGTTTCCTCTTGATCCAATAAAGATTCTTGATGTTGGGCACCAATTTTTATATTTTCAACTCCTACATTCATTTCAGAGAGACTTGATACAGAAGTACCAGAACGCACTGATGCCACATCTTTCAAATCATCATCTTTTTCTCTAGATTCTGATTCCACAGAATCAGAACCAGATACATTGTTGTTTTGTTTGGAATCATGTCCATCTGGATGCGGTTCGGTTAGTTCTGAACCAGTGAAACTATTGGAAGTGGATATAGGACCAGAGACAGAGTCTGCTGAGCTGGCATCATAAATAGTGTCTGGTGGAGATATCCACCCTTTATCTTGCAAACTGAATCCAGTGGTTTGAGGCAAGTCTTCATCACATTCTGTATCGGATCTTGACAAAGTGTCGTTATCTTTGTTGGTGGTGGTGTTGTTGTATTCAGTGTCATCAGCTACAAGATCTGGCCTTGATGATAAGTTTAAGTCTTGTGACCTTATTTCTTGGCTTTCACCTAATCCTTCAAGAGCCTAGTACAGACATAGTCATATAAAAAATGTACAAGTATTTGGCATGAAAAAAGATTTATGACAGAGACATACCTTGTGAAGATTTCCAGCATGGATATTTGCAGTTCGTGCCAATCTTGTAAGCATGGAATGGAGTCCTTTGACTGAAAATGTAAGTGATGGAACCAAAGGTTTAATCACATGACATGCATCCTTAATTTTTGCATGGTAAGAATGGTAAATGGCCTGTCCATGAATAGGAGATATTTCCATTTTTGTCTCTCTCTCTTTGTTCATAGCTTCAGTCATTGCATCAACATCTTTAGTCAACACTGATTCCAGTGGAAGTACAATGCTATTTGCCTATCAAAAACACAAATCTCAGGAAAACTCAAAGTAAATGGATATCTTGTCTCAAGAGAGAGAGAGAGAGAGAGAGTTAAAAAAACCTTTGAAAGGTCTCCCATAAGAGAAGAGTGTAATGCAGAAGCCTCTTTTCCCAGAGTGTGAACATCGTGTAGACCTTCTGTTATTGCCAAAACCTACAACAAAGAAAATAAAGATTCAATTTATGAAATGATGTTTCCTATATACAAAGAGCATACTAAGATGTAATGTAACCCTGTTCTACTTATATCTTAACAATATGTAATGTATCACACCTCTTCAAGCATGGAACCACACTCAGAAGTGAGAGCAGTGTGACCCCTGGTAATGGATCCAAAAGCAGACAATGCAATGCTGGCTTCATAAGCACAGTCTCTCATAGCAACAAAAGTCTCCTGTAAATCACCTGATGCAAACAACAACCAAAATCAGCATGACATTTGTAAGTAAAACGGTCTTCTGTTTGGTTGGATGGAATGGATTGAGACATTACATTCCATAATGATGTCTCTAGGAAAGGATTGATTTCATATGCAATAAGAACATACCAGATGAAGACTTTGCTTTAGCAGAAGCAACACGCAGTTCATTGCTTGCCACAAGCAAACCATTTGAAGCAGCTTCCATATCACTCTGTGCTAACTCCCACTCATGCTCTGTACCTGATCAACTCACAAGTCACAACCACCAACACTTTATCAGACTTACAAATTATCAACCATAGTACTCAATAAATTAAACCTTACGTGTGAAGGAATGATATGTGGCATCCAAATTTGTTAACGCATTAAAGTAAGCTTGTTGCCATGCCCTCCCACTGCCATCTGCCCCTAGTACCCCATCTCTAGATGCTTCAAAATCCAATATTGACATACAGATTTTGATAATGTCTGATGCCTTTTCTCGAGCACCCCATAACAGTTGTCGCCTCTTTGCTAAATGATCATGAAACTCAGGTGGAATACCAGAGGAGGTCCTTCCAGAGTTTGAGTTTGAGTTTGACCCGGTCAAACCTGAATTAGGACCACCACAAGCCCACCCCATGGCTCTCTCAAGCTGCCCTTCTGCTGTAATTGAAGTCTGTTCACAAGCTTGTAGGCAGTCTAGTGATCGAACTACTTTACCTACTGAAGACCGTATAGTTTCCAATAATCTAGGTCTGCTTAGGTTTAGAATAACTGGAAGCGTGTTGTCCTCACTTGAAAGAAACTTGTGACATATGAGTCTGCAGTTATGTAATGGACTCAAGGTGACATCATGCATCCATTCCAGCTGGACAATATCTAGACACGTTTTATATAAACCATCTTTAAGTTCTTTCACTTGTCTTTTCATGAGTGATGCAGCTGACATTCCTGCTCTTACTGTTTCGTGTGCGTTGCAGTATTCTTCAAGCATTTGTTTCACTCTTTCAACACCACCCGTATCTCGTATCTCTTCAAATTCGTTTTGAGTCATAGTTGGTTGCTTTAAAAGTTCGATTTCTGAATTCAGCATGGTCAACAAAAGAGGGGCGATTTTGTCCTTTAGATATTGACCGATATGTTCTTGGAGTTGGATTGATAACTTTTTCTTGACAGCATTTAGAATCTGGTCAAATCCCAAATTTTGATCCCGGGATGAAGCTGCTACACGTATGCAAGAATCAAGAAAGGAATCCATAACAGCCACTTTCCACATAAAAAACAAATGGTTTTCCAGTATACCCGAGAATTTCCAAATAAACCCTGGTACTGCACTACCATAGGTAATCATATCAGTAACTTGGGTGATCATTCCATTTGAAGAATCTGATGAATATGATGATAATGTCTTATCAACTGATTCCAATTCAAAGAACGGCTGGACTAATGCTAAAAGGAGAGCTTTGCTTCTTGAATATTGTGGTTCCTTTTCTTGTTCTTGACTAATTAAAGACTGAAAATGATTTTCAGCAGAGATTAAACCGTTTCGAATACTTGCTTCCCTTTTCATTAAAGAAGAAGTTCGAATGTCTTTCTGATTCCATGTTTGATGTAGTTCTTCAAGCTGTGCTCTACAAGCTTCTTCTTGAGATGCCAACTCTTCAGCTTCCTCCCATGAAAGATGATCTCTACCTTTAACAGCAGCCTCTTCAAGAGCCAACTGTTGTTCAGTAATGAAACCCACTTTCACAAAATAGCTCTGTTCTAACTCCATTAAAGACCCTCTCTCTATTTGAACCTCAATTAATTGTTCCAATGCTGTATCGATCGAACCCCTGATTTGTGAAAGAGATCCAAATGCATCCATGATTTCTGAATCGTATGAAATCACAGATCTTACGATGTTTGGTAGAACATTTTCAATCATTTGAGCAACCAAGTTTTTACATGAAAGTAAATTGGTTTTGAAAATTGAAGCCCAGTTTGTCTCAAAAGAATCTTCTTCTCTATTGAAAGTAGACTGCTTTATTTCATTCACCCAACCTGCTACAAGAACACATTTCTCTATCTTCTCTTCAAACTCGCATAAAAGGGTTGCCAGATCAGCTCTTGTCCCACTTGAATGATTCAATACCTCAAGTAACCTAACCTTAACCTCATTATAAACAGAACTTACAGCTAACCCAACCATGGTTAAAATTTCCTCATTCTTGTTGAAATCACTTTGTAAAAACTTTGTGAAAGCAGCCATGAGACGATCTTTAGCTCGTGACTCGGTTTCTGAACCAATCGAATTCACCAATTCTTGATACTCTTTTTCAACTCTCTCAATCTCATCCGCATACTTTTCCACTTGAACACAAAGATCATTATGAAGGCTCTTCACTGTGTCAAAACCATCTTCACGAACATTTGCAACAAGTTCAGCACCTTGTCTTCTGGTAATGGACAGAACATCTGATGAAATTGTACTGACAGAAAGTTTCAGAATTTGTGCCCAACTGTTGACTGGACTGGTTGTAAGGTAATTTAATGGAAGAATTCTTTGTAAAGCTAAAGAATATGTTTGGAGAGATGTAACAGAAGATGTAATCCCATGATCTAAATCAGAAATTAACTGAGAAACTTCTCTGTCTATATCATGGCATTGGACTTGTGTAGGCTCTGGGACAACAGTAAATGGAACCCCTGCTACTAGGACAGCAGATGTAAGAGATAAAGATTTTTCGTTTCCAATTAAATTTATGTGGGATTTTATCTCTGGGATTGAACTGCTTCTTAGAGCTTCAATGATTCTTCCATGTTGTTCGATCCAGGCAGCTGCCTCTAAGGCTTTTTCAGCTACAGAAGCTTTAGTTTGAGAAAATTCACGACCCTGTAACTCGTACAATGTGCGTGTTTTTTCAAGATTATTAGTTGCTTCAGCAACAATGGTTTTAGCTGATGTTTCGTGGATAATAAGGTTAGATCTTTCTTGTTCTGTGCGATTGTAGATGGAAGATACAATCTCATATTGGCTTAGGATGTCTGCAAAACGCTGTTACAACATTCTTGAAGTCAGATAAAGATCCGGATAAAAACAAGAATGCCCCCTCTGGTTTTGTCACTTTTGCTAGGTTCAGTGCATAAAAGAATCTTTATCCTTATTAGAGGATTTCGTTTTATATTTGGTCACTCCCCTTAACACCGTTTTTGATCAGCCAAGTCCTTGTAAAATGGCTATTTTGCCCCGACTCATCAAATAGGGGCAAAATTGTAATTTGGCAGTGAGTTAACAGACCTAAACTAACGGTGTTAAGCCGAGGGACCAACATGGAATGAAACTAGCGAATAAGGACCGTTTTAGAAAGAAAAAAAAAAAAAAAATACTTTTTGCTCCGAACCTAGCAGAAGTGACAATCAACAGGGACCATTCTTGACGTTTACTCTAAAAACAATCATAAGTTGCAAAAGGAATTGTAACGCCTTAAACCTACCTGAAGAGCAGATTCCACAGCTGGTAGTGTAGCCAATAAGAGATCATGATGTTCCTGAAAATTTTGAAAAAAAAAAATGATTAAAAATAGTACACTAAAACTAAAAGAACACGTTCATCTGAAGAAGAAGAAAATGTGTGAGTACCTGCAAAGGTACACGAATTTCTTGCACACGAGAAGCAAAGAGACTCAAACTAACTGCAAGTTCCATTCCTTTTCTTTCTTCACCAACAATGGCAGCATCATCATGAAAATCGCCACGTGTCCACTCCACAAGAGGGTCCCACACAAAAACCTCTAACAACATCAAGACTACATCTTTATTCTTTTTCAAGATACCAAGAACTGCTTCACAGTTTTTCTTGAAGGAGCCCTCAGTGCCCATTAATCCTAAAGCTGCCTCAAGTGTTTGAGTCAGACGGAAGGGGACAATTTCTGGAACTTTTAACCTTTGCCCTTTGTCAAAGCACACGTTATAATCAATGTGAACAATATCACCACTATGGAAGTCCAAAAGAATATTATCCAAATGCCTGTCCCCAAGACCCAATATGTGCCCTACCATGCTCATGGCTGCTACACTTCCAGAATACCTGAAAGCAAATAAAATTATCAAGTGGACATCATAAAAAATGCAAAAAGTAAATTACATTTTTGGTCCTAAAAGTTTTATCTTGCAAATTTTGATTTTTATTTTGTAGTGTCCTAACTATTTTGGTCCATGTGTCATCTATGTTAAGAGCCTAGCGGCTAATTTTTTTTAAATGACCATTTTGCCATTCACCAAAACTGAAAGACGGTATCAATTCAAAAATGCCGCAATAAATAAAAGTACGAAATCAAAAAAGTTACAAAATTAATATATGAACATAAATTTTTGTAAAAGAAAATATCGGCCCTAATATATTAGATCTTTGAAGTATAAAAAATTCAGAACAATGATTGTATCAACTTATACATTTCCACGTAGTATGGTGGAAGATCAGAATGTACAGGATAAATAAAAGAATAGTATAGGAAGCTATACTAATATATAAATAATGTAAAATTAACATATTAAGAAATAATTCAACTTACAATACACACTAAAGTATTATATATTTAAAAAATCATATGCACATATAAAATGTTAGACCTTAATTATAAATTTGTTCCCTGTTGAATACTGTTTTCATTCAGTTTTGGTCCAAGGGGAAAATGGTCATTTAAAAAAATAACAAGTGTTAACTTAGATGACATAGGGATAAAAACTGTTAGGAAAACTCATAATATAGACCAAATTCACAAAGGGAACTTTTTGGGACCAAATTTGCAAATATCAGCTATACTCTGGGACCAAAAATGTAATTTAATCTAATCCAAATCCGAAAATTATTAGCATGCTTTTTTAGCTATATAAATAACCTTTTCAATTTTGAGCGGAAGGCTTTGAAACCTTCACTTGCACACCATATTTCTTGATGAAGAAGCTGTTTAGGAGTCTCCTGCATAAGGTCCAAAAGAACTTTTCTCTTAACTTCATGAGGCCAATCTTTTCTAGAAATCACTCTTCGTATGCCTTTTTCCTTTAACGCTGGTATAATTTTACCATAAAACATATCAGTAGGCCGAGGTACATGCGATTGCACTGAGTTCTTTGTATTGGTAGAAGCAACCCCTGAAAGCTGTGCCACCTGGACGCGATTCTGCCAAGACTTGTACACACTATAAATACTTGTTACATTTTCCACCCATTGAATTAAACCAGCTCGACCACTAATAGGTGTCACTGAATAATGGCGAATGCCAATAGGAGACGAATGCAGAAAACCATTTATGGCTTGCAAAAGTTGCATTATTCTAGCATCAAGTCGAAGGTCTTCCCTGCCTTTTAACAGATAAGGGTATTTCTGACCATCTGAGCCCATTATAACAAGCTTTTTCGGTTTCGTCTTTGTTGGCAAGATAACTACTTGTTCAGAGAAAGATGTGATTGTGACAATATTACCCTGACCTGGCATTGGGACATCGGATGATGAAAGTAGAGCCAATTGAGGTGCGACTTCTGACAATGATATTGATGATTTTCTTTGATAGGATGCTAAAGATGCAACAATGGTGTCAAATGGTCTCCAAACTTCCCCTAGTGTGACAGCAGATGGTGGAGTTTTGAAGTTTGAAATGGCTGACTTGATTTGTCCCATGTACTCATTGTGGAACCATATTTCATGAGGTGTTTCAGGTTTACGTGAGGTGGAAGCTAAACGACGCTCCAGGGTAACAACAATTGGTGCCATCATAGCAGAGTATTTTGCTGCATTTATCTTGCTTTTTTCAGTATGACTAAGAGTCACATTCTCTGCAATACGTGATGCCTCCTCTTTCAGCAAATTTATCCGTCCGATTACATCTAAAAGTGTATAAAAATGATATTAGGTAAGTGTAGGACAATAAAACCATTTTCTAAATTCAAGATACCTGAGTGAAGATCTTGCAGTGTGCTGAGCCACAATTCTTCCCAAAGAATGGTTACATTTTCTAGCTCTTTAATCATGAGTTGAACATCCTGGACTAATCTTGGATATTGCTTGTTCTACATATACAATGGTTAATATTGGGTTAGTCATCATCACATTCTAACAAATAGATTGTCAGAGAGCACATAATATATATATATATATATATATATATATATATATATATATATATATAATATGGCACACATACCAAACATGCCAATATTCGTGTAAGCTCCATCGAAGGATCCTCTTCACTTGTGTTAATATCAACGAGGGTTGGATAAATTATCGACCATGGAGATTGTTTTGCCAGCATGACCAAAATGCCCTCGAGCTGTTTCCTAACATCTTCTTCAGGGTGAGAGCTTAACCGAGCAAATAGTTGAGGAGTTACTTCCTGCAGAAAGGGAAAAAAAAAAAAATACTAGTTAGAACAGAACTGGTTAGGTTACTGTGATATAAAACTGGCAAAAGGGGTCCCACCCACCTGCCATGCCAACAAAGGAACTGTTGAAAGTGCAGGTTCAAGAGTAACTTTTAACTCCACCCCATAGTTAAGGAGAATATGCAGGACATGAAGTGTAGCTTTCAAGGTATAACTAGAATTCTTTTGACCTTCTGTTTGACTACCCCATAACTTGGAAGATGAATGTGAGAGGTAATTTATATAAGCTTGAGCTGCATGCCCAAATAGAGATACCCTTCTCTTTCTCAAACACCACCAAACATCAACCAACTCGTTAAAAAACGAACTTCCCTCAACATCAATATTGGCAAAAAGAAAGAATTTCTGCAACTTGGAGGCAACAACAACAGAAAGGCATTCAAGTTCTCCAGCTGCAGCTTCTATTATATTCACTACTTGCTGCACCACCGCATGAACATTGTTGCTATCTAAGTCTTTAACATCTCTTGCTTTCTGAAGAAGCTCTGAAACAACATGTTTGACTCTTGAGACCTCTTCTTCAGTTAACCTAAACCTGTCTGGTACAAGTTCTGAATCAAGAATTGGAGAAAACGAGCAGGATTGAAGGGTGGTGTCACTTGTCTCCTTAGCTTGAGCATAACACCAAGAAGCATAAGAGATCCATGACTTTCCCATAGTGGGACAAAGTCGTGAAGAGAGCTTAGTAGCTGTCCCTACAAGCTCCTCAACAATGAGATCCATCCTAGGTCGATAGTTGGTAGTATCATCACTGTATTCTGATCGTATCTTTAGAATAATGTTCTCCAAATTGGCATCCAAGTGGTCCTTTTTTAACCATTTTGAAAGTTTTAAGCAGGCTTTCGCCTTTAAAACACCATCAGGGATAACCGAAACAATAGGTGATGAGTGAAGCATGAAAGGACTAACAAATGACCATAGACCTGTGTATGCCTCTTCAAGCCTGTTCTCAGCACGCATCAAGAGTATGCCTTCATATTGTAAACTTGAGAGGATGGATTTATGAAAACTTTCTTCACCTAAACGACACTTCAAATAGTCATTGAGACGATTTGCCAAAATCAGGTTCTTTTGTTTTCGAGCTAAACGCAGTAAATTTAAGCTGAGATTTAGAGTCACTGGAGAGTTGGAATGAATGGTTTGATAAACACGGAGAGTTTTCATCCATGGTTTGCAATCTTGATAAATGTGATTGCTTGGGAACTGCACTTCTCGAATATATGAACTTAAAATGTCTTGGGTGCCTGAAATCTTGCAACTCTCTTCAAATGCAGATATGCAATGCAACTGATGAACATGTTCTGCTGCTTCTGTTAACCCATCAAGTGGCAAAGTGGTAAATGTTTCATTAAGCATTAATTTCGCCTTCTGTAGTTCATGCTGCACTTTATCCAAATTTCCTTCAATATTGTAAAGCATTGCTTGTAAAAGCATCTGCTCACTCCTTTGCAAAGCTACTTTCGGGTCTAGTGCAAGTTCATTGCTACTTTTAGGCGTCAAGTCAAGGCAACCCCATGCTGACTTGTAATCACCATCATCAAAATGAGCAAGGGCATGAATGGCATTTAACTCGTTTCCTGCCATTGTTAGAACACCAGAATAGCTTTTACCAGCATGCTTAGCACGAAGAAGTTGCAACTCTGATAGCCAAGATTCAAGGGATTTCCAATCCGAAACTGCACTGTAACTTTCAATTATACGAGTTATGGCAAATTGTACACCTTCAGAGCCCATTGAGCCAAGTGACTCTTCAGTTTGTAACAAATGAGTGAAGTGAGCAGCAGCCTTTTCGTATTGACCTTGTGCTTGATAGACAAGCCCTGTGATCCAGGACAAAGGTCCAATCATACTTTGGTTTTCTTCCATAAACAAAGGAAAAAATGCAGCCGATACCCATTTTTGCAACCCGATTAAAGCCTCTGGCTCATGATTCTTACATAAAGACAAGGTCATATGCCGTAAGACCCTCAAGATATCTCCCAAGAACCTAGATTTCATATTTTGAAGATTTTCAATGACTTGGGTCCTTGACTTGTCCTTCATAGATGAACCCAATAAACTTTTGAGCTCTTGCAGACGCAAACTACAGTAATGAATTGTAGCATCATGACACTGAAGTGCAAGACCTGCATTCATCATTGGCTCACATATACGAGAAAACCATTCTTCACAGACTTTTTTATTTGCTTTAAAGAAAACAAAACTCTGGCGAGATGGAGATGGTAAAACAGTTGATCCATCATAAGCATTGTACACGTTTTTCTTCAAAGACTCGACAAAATCAAGTAATAACCTCAGTGGTAACAAGTGAGCATGAGAATAAGAAGAACCTAAAATATTTAGGTTTGCATCACTTTGGTCAGTATTCGCCTGTAATACATGTGCAACATCCACAAGCATTCGCTCCAAAGCAGCAAAAGTTTGTGAGGGCCCACCAAGATTGGTCCGAAGGCGTGTAGTAATACAGTATCTAGCTGCTTCATGTATGGCCCACCATGCTCCAGCAAGGAGGTTGACTGAACATGTTCTTTCTAGAAGATCTTCCTCCATGTTCATGTCCAAAAACAAGCTAATCACATGCAGGTTTCCTGTGTCTTCTTGTTGGGCTAAAGCAAAATCTTTTGAATTGTGACAAGCATGGACAAGCCGCTGGATCCAAGAAGAAAGAGGCACCTTCCATCTTTGTGAAATGTAACTTAGGATGGAAACAAGCTGCTTTGAGTGAAGCTGATGTGGCAGTTGCTTCAAGGCGAAAATTTGCTTCCACTGCATGATTGGTCGCCTGTATTTTGTAACTGTCACGTCATCATGTATGCCACATACAAGTACTGTGATGGGCAATGCATGAGAAAGCAACTTCAAAAATAATTCTTTGATATCTTCATCTGGGTCTCCAAGCTTTTCAAGAATAACTTCGGTTAATGCGTACATTTGTGAGGGGTGTATAAGTTTTGAGTGCAGAAACATTTCCAATACCAATGCAACCTGACACCTCACTTTTGGTTCCCTATCAGATGCAGCATCAAGAACAGAGAACACAATCTCACCAAAAAACTCAAGATACCCAATAGCCTCAGAATCATAATCTGCACACTTTGACTTGTCATGCATACGTTTAACAGTCTGACAGTATGTATGTATCCATTGTAATGCTTCTAACTTCACTGCTAAAGGAGATGAAACATTAAGAGCTTTTGTGAGGAGCTGACTGTACTTCCTGAAATGCTCCAACATCAACATTGAAGGTCCAACCCCATTGTTATGTTTCCTCAATGAGAACTTACTGAGAAATTCCACTATACTTAGCCTATTTAGCATCTTGAAAATGGTTACTTGTAACTCCATATATCCTTGAATAGGTGATTCAAAAGGATTCAGATTGTCAAGGACATGATATATCATTTTCTTTGATCTATTAACATATAAAGTATCGATCTCTGGTTGGCCTATCAAACTACTACCACCACCCAAAGAAACACAACTCAGGAGAACTTTCATATCAAACTTAAAGAGTGCAAAAAGCTCGGTTTTGGAAAATACTTTAGGAGCCACAACGCCCCCAAGCATGCTTTTTAACATGTTTAGCTCTTCAAGTAATGAATTCATTGCACATTCAACAACTTCATTGTTTCCATGTTGAAGTAAGAAGACATATGTAGCAGCAGAACTTGAGGTCACCAGGTGATTTGGATGCAGACGAAGCTGGGAAACAGGTGAATCAAACTGTAATATTTTATTTACTGATGAAGATAGAAGACCAAGCTTCTGAAGTGAAAGTAACTGAAGATTGGTCTTGAGAACCCCATGAACCTGAAAAGAAGTCAGTTTCTCAGCATTCAAAGTTTTAGCAGTGTTCCTCATATCCAGGCTTTGAAACAGGATATCAACTGCAATACTGTAGAACGATGAAAACCTCTCACTCAGAATTTCAGCCAAAAGAGTCAGACACTTCCAGGAGTCCACTATCCATTTTGACCAACCGTATTTCCTTCCAACCATTAACAAACATTGTAACAACTGAGGAAGCATTCTAGTGAGGGGGTCTTTAATTTCTTCCAGTAAATTTATCTCCAGCAACCCAGAAGCTGTAGATTGTAAAACTGTAGAAAAACAAGACAACAAAGCAAGCAATCTTTGACGTTGTTGTGGGGTCCCAGGGCTTCCATCTTGAAGTAGTACATCCATGTCACCCAAAAACTTTGAAAGCAATCCCAAGGAGAATTGTAAGTTGTTGACCCAGTGTTTTTGAAATTGCAAAAAGCTATCCATAATGACACTCCTATCAGATTCAGCAAGGTCAGGTATCATTGCCCACCCAAGAAGCAAATCAACTATGTCAACAAAATGGGCCTGGAAACAGATAAAGAACTTCAAAGAAATCAAAGTCAACACAGTCAAAAGGCGATGCAGTAAGCTTAAGGAGGTTCTTTCATCCTCAAGAAGCTCTTGACATGCTTTGAGAATTGGTAATGCGTATCTCTCAGTAGCTCCAATGTCTGCAACATTGAGGAATTCATGAAGACCTTCTGCTGCAATTTCCACTGTCCCATCACCAGCATTAATATTGCTAAACAATGGCAATGCCCATCCTATAAATCTATCCACTAAATTTCCAAGAATTACATGGTTTTGTCTTCCATTTGACCCAATAGGGAGTGAACATAAGACTGCACACAAGGCACCATAGGCTGTTGCAGCAGCTTGACGTACCGTATATGATCTACATAAAGTAAACACAATAAGTACAATGATTACCCAAAAAAAAGGAAATATAAGTGTACATCTTGCCCAATAAGTTCCTATACAGATCAGAAAACATTCCAGAAAGTGAAAATCAGATCTATAGCATAGGGAAAATAAAAGTATACAGCATAACATGTCTTTCACTGATGATGTACTATGAGTTCACAGATCACAATTACATATATCCTTGAACCTCATGGATATGGCATACTTAACACCAAGCGATTAGGTTTAGCACAAAGCATGGTTGATTCGATCACACACATAATAGCGATTGTTTACCCACTAGCAACACCTAAATGAACTCATAACCTAAAAATTTAATCAAACTTAACACATACGAATTTAATTAGCAATCATAAAAGGTTTATCGGTCACTATATCCAGCAACAAAGATAAATAAGCACGCGTATATAATTAAGAGTTACTTACTTGTCTGCAATGAGTTGCGAAAACCCCTGAGCGAGAAACGAGGCAGAGTGAGTGACAAGGAGTGAGTTATGAGGATAAACAATGGCGCGGTGAAGTGAGTTAATGGCTGCCAATCGAGAAGCGTCGTCTTCTCCACCTTCAGACGATGGATTGTTGTGTTGCGATGAGGATGAAGATGAAGAATCCTTGTCTTTGGGGAGAGCAACGGAGAGCAGAGCTGCCAACTGTTGTTGTTGATGATGAAGGCCTTGCATATTCATGGCTCCTTTCAATTCGCATCTCCCCTCTTGAATTCTCTGGTTTGTTTCTTTGAGTTTGGCAATGAGAATGACGAACTCATGGCTGAAGAACAGCAGGGTGAAGAAGTTTCAAAAATTGCAATTGTCTCCCATGTCTTTTCACAGTTTGCAACCAACATCTAAAAATAAGATAATAATCAAAGTAAAGTGAATAGATAAATTTTTGGAGAGAAAACAAATCAATTTAAATTTTTGGAGAGAAAACAAATCAATTTAGGGGGTGTTTGGTTAAGATTACGATTTTTCATAAGTTCTTTTCAACTTATAACTTATAACTTATAAGCTGATAACTTGGGAATTAGGATGGACTTACTTATAAATTTTGACTTATTTCTCATATGGCATCTTGATAAGCTATTCCTATCCAAACACTCTTTTTAACGTATACCGGTGTGGAACCGGTAATAAGCTAAAAAGGAGCTTAAATAGGCTTAGCCAAACACCCTATTAAACCCATTAGCCATTAGTGTATATGACTAGGATTATATAGCCTTAGAATGACTGATTTTGCATTATTTCATGTTCCTTGTTTGATTGTGGTCTTAGGGTAGAGTCTTTTATTCGACAGTCTATTTGATCATGTATTATGTATAGTTTGCATGTATAAGGCAACTGACAGTGAGAGTGGAAGTTCCTAGCATGGGTTGTAGTAAGTAAGCTCGAGGAGTCCTTTGATTGATTTGTGTCTTGGAGTGTTACTGCACAAATGTTGCTTGCTTTGTGCTTTGTGCTTTGTGCTTTGTGCTTCGTGGGACTCTTGATGATGTAGGTTAACTATTAAGTGAATATGTTAAGCAACACGTTGCATAGGTTAAATAATCTCATAGTGGTGAATTTGATCCTACTGCACAACTCTCGTTTGAGTCTAACAGTTGTAAGGGTGAGTCTTTTACTCGGATGATTATCTAAGCTTTGTTTCATGTGATTGTATTCATGAAGTAGTTAACTGACATTATTGAGAGTTGTTCAGCAGCTGATGGCAGGGTGAGGTCCGAACCTAGGAGAGCCTAGGATATGTTGTAGTGAGTTGTTTGTGTTGTTTAGCAGGTACTTGGAGTACCAGTTTGAGAAGGTGACTTAGGGGATTCGGGATAACTCTTAAGGAAAGTATGGATAGGTGTTGAAGGTAGTATTGGGCCCATACTACTGAAAGCACAAGACATATACTCGAATCTAGGGAAGTCACGGATAATCTAGGAAGCATGTTGGATGAGGATTCTTTGAGTATGTTCTGGTTATTGCTTGGTTTCTTTTTGATTTTTCCTTTTCATTATTTCGCTATGGTTACAGTTTACAATGCTAACTCTCAAAATAAACACACACTAACAAAATAAACACACACAGCCACCCTATGGTGGCCGGTGGTGGGTTTTCTCATAATTTCGGGCCAAATAAAGTCACACACTACAATCAGAACACACACACCCACGCGTTCCTGCTTGCAAAGTGAATCCAACACCTACCTGTGGTGGGTGGCGATGGCAGCAGTGGCGTGACAGCGACGGTGGTAGGAAGCATATCACGATAACAGCCACCACCTTACGGTGGTGGCGAGTTGTAACGACCCGTTTCCGGTATGTTTATTTCTTGGTATTTATTTTGAAGTTTTGCAAGAGGGACTCGGCGAGTTCATAGCCTGACTCGCCGAGTAGGGTCGGGATTTCGAGCACGTGTTAGCTAGAGACTCGGCGAGTCCATATTCCGGACTCGGCGAGTCTGTCCGCCTGGGAGAAACCCTAAATCCCCGGGTTGCCCACTATTTAAGCCACCTTATGGCCCTCATTCTCGCGTCCTTCACCCTCAGAAGCTGTGAGAAAACCCTAATTCGTTCTTGAGTGATTGTAAGTGATTTTTGTGTGCTTTTGTGAAGGCTTGAAGAAGGAGAAGAAGAAAGGAGCAAGGAGAAGGAGTGTGGAACAGAGATTCAAGGGAAAACAAGAGCTCTTTGAGCCGAGGAGATACCGGAGCAGCAGCAGTTAGCTTCCAGAGTCATACACTCAGCAGCCAGTTTACGAGGTGAGTTTCCTTCCCGTAGTTAGGGGGCTTGATGTCTTTGTGATACAAGCATGTTTGTGTTATGTGTTCCGGACTCTGTTTCGATGCAGTATGCAGTATATGTAGGGATGTCAACGGGACCAAACGGGAGCGGGAATAGCTGCCCCCGCTCCCGCCCCCGAAATCAATTGTTGCCCCCGCTCCCGGTCCTGCCCCCGGCTCCCCCGTTTACATAGCCCCCGGTCCCGCTCCCGGTTACCTCCATCACCCCCGGTCCCGCCCCCGTTCCCCCGGTTCCCCCGCTTAAAATTCGTTTTTTTTGCTAAACGACTATTTTGTGTTAGGCTAAAAAGCTTGTTTTTAATAACTTTAAAAGTTTAAAACATAATCTTTTAGAAACTAAACAATTAAAAATTCAACATTACGAATTCAATATTACAAAACGACAATTCCATCAATCTTAAAAATATAAAATATGACAAATCCAATATTACAAATATAAAATACTTACATATCCAAAAATATATGATCAATTCACTACCTCTTCAATATCTATTAATTGAAAACGGGAAAGTGAAACCTAACCTACACTTAAAATTAGAAAATCTATTTTGTATATGTATTTTATATTAAATATATATTTTTTACATAAATGCACAACCGGGGCCCCGCGGGAGTACGGGACGGGAATACCAACTCCCGCTCCCGGTCCCGAAAATAAGCGGGGTTTAATTTTGCCCCCGCTCCCGGTTTTTTTAAAAATTTAGTCCCATACGGGATCGGGGTTCCACGGGGGTTTTTGACATTCCTAAGTATATGTGATTAGGATAGTGTTATGTTTTATGCTATGCCATGATCGGTCAGTTCCGGACTTCGGTCTGACGCAGTCAGTTCCGGATTTCGGTCCGATGCAGTCAGTTCCGGACTTCGATCCGATGCAGTTAGTTCCGGACTCTGGTCCGATGCAGGGGACAAGGTCCCAGTCAGTTCCGGACTTCGGTCCGATGCAGCTAGTTCCAGACTTCGGTCTGATGCAGTGGACAAGGCCCAGTATGTTCTTATTTACATATTGTATGGTATGTGGTAGTTTGGGGGAGCTCACTAAGCTTCGTGCTTACAGTTTCAGTTTTGGTTTCAGGTACTTCCGCAAGCAGTGGGAAGAGCTCGGGGTGATAGCATCGCACACACCACAATTTTAGTTTTTATCCTGGGGATTGATTTAGTTTGTTTTGATTTGACATAGTATGATACAGTTTTCCGCACAGTGTTTTTATTATGTTTGGGATATATCACGTATGGTTTTATGATATGACACTCAGATTATGATTTTGGTTATATTGGAAAACGAAATTTTTGGGTCGTATTTTTGGGTCATTACAAGTTGGTATCAGAGCCCTGGTTTGAGGGATTCAGATACACTTCCGGATGTATCTGAACTCAAACTAAGGGGAAATAAAAAGATTTTTTTTATTTTAAGAAAACATCTTCTAAAAAGAATTTTGAAAGCACTTAGAAAGAAAGAAATTTTTAACGAGATAGAGGTGTGTGCATGCGATCAGCCGAGCTCAAGTAAGTACTCCCAAATTACCCATACAAGTTAATTGTTCAGTTTCAGTTTCAGTCGAACAGCATGCTAGTATAGGACTAAGGATCTAGGAGAATGCCTTATGTGCCTGCTTTATGTGTTACAGTTTTATGAGTATTGCATGCTAGTATTGAGTAGACAGCAGTAGGATAGCCTGTTTAGGTTATGCCTGATAGTATGAGCTTAGCATCCTATGCTAGTACAGTTTCTCGTTATGAGAATAGTTTTGCCTGAGTGAGTGTAATTTGAGTGTAAGGGACATTGAAGTGACATAGGTAAGGTGGGGAGGTATGGCTGGTCATAGAGTGGGTATGGGGTGGTTGCTTGTGTCATAAGTTAAGACAAAGTCAACACTCCACCTTAAATAAATCCCCCATTAGATCTTTATTATTTAGATAATGATTTTCATAAAAATATGTTTAAATTATGAATATTTAGAGTTTATTATGTTAAAATATAATTTCTGGAGAAAATCCCGCTTTAAAATCACGAAAAACGGGCTCAAAATGTTAAAAATATCAAAAATGGGCTAAAAGTGACAAATTTCCGAAATCTGGCCGAGGTTCGGCCTTCTGATGCTGAAACCGAGAGGAGGAAGGGTAGAAACCGAGAGGGGAGAAGAGAGAGGGTAGGAACCGAGAGGAGGGAAGAGACAGAGAGGCGGAGCAGAGACCGAGCGACCAGAAGAGACCGAGAGAGGCAGAGACCGAGCGACCAGAAGAGACCGAGAGAGGCAGAGCGTGAGAAGGCAGAGACCGAGCGACCAGAAGAGAGACCAAGAGAGGCAGAGACCGAGGCTCGGTCTCGCATGCCTCAGCCACCAGACGCTCGGTTCTGGTCCTAAGAGGCCTCTCTTCCCGGTTTCGGTTCCTAAAGCCTATTTTTCTCGTTTTCGCCCCGTTTTAAGCCGTTTTTGACCCGGTTAAGGGTCAGTATGACCCGAATGATTCCAAAAAGTTACGGGAACTTTTGAGAGAGATTTGGGAGAGATTTCACCTACTTGGAGAGATTTGGGAGAGATTTGACATTCTTGGAGAGATTTCTCATACAAAGAGATATTTGAGAGAGATTTCACATACCTGGAGAGATTTGGGAGAGATTTGACATTCTTGGAGAGATTTCTCATACAAAGAGATATTTGAGAGAGATTTCACATACTTGGAGAGATTTGGGAGAGATTTGACATTCTTGGAGAGATTTCTCATACAAAGAGATATTTGAGAGAGATTTCACATACTTGGAGAGATTTGGGAGAGATTTGACATTCTTGAAGAGATTTCTCATACAAAGAGATATTTGAGAGAGATTTCAAGTGTGGCATTTGTGAGTGTTTGGCTCCACAATGCAAGTTTCTTGAGCCCCGATAAGTTGTGATTAAGGATCCCACACACTCCCAATGAGTATGCAACATGGTTTTTATCCGTTTAGTTCATTGATTAGCACTAGGGCTTAGGAAATTTTAACACAAGACTTTTCTCAAGTGATGTTTTCCTATTAATATAGCAAGTTATACAGTATGAACATAACACAAACCCTAATGCACAAGGTTTAATCGAGCTGACCGGCTTGACTTGATGACTTGACTTGACTCAAGATTGAAGATTGTCACATATGGTCTTCTCAAATCCCGTGGAACAAACATTCCACATGAAGATGATATTCCACGATTCGATCGAGGAACAAGAAATCATGCTTCACTTCCTCCTCCTCCTCTAATTATTCTCCCTAACCCACAAGATTGTAAAATTGAAAGGTTCAATATCACTCAAGCCCTTTTGGCAAGTAAACATAAAGAGGGCAAGTCGGTGTGTGCACACGTCTTAGGGATGAAGTCACACATTGATAGGTTAAGAATGTTAGGATCCGTTGTCGGTGAAGCGATGGCTGTTGATTGGGTTCTTCAGTCACTTCCTAACTCATATAGTGAGTTCGTAAGAGAGTACTATATGATGAACCGCGATGTGACCCTTATAGATCTCACCTATATGCTTATTGCTGCTGAATCAGCAATGGTTTGGCGCAATAGAAAAGCAAAGTTGATTGGTGAATCTGCCTTCAAGACCTCTATGGATATAGACAATGGCAATGAAAGACATGCAATGATCGAAAAGTTTGATCATAAGAGAAAGGCGATGTCTAAAGTAGTTCCATGTGTTGTTCCAAAGGAGTCAGTTTGCTTTTATTGCCAAGAGAAGGGGCATTGGAGACGAAGTTGCCCTATTTACCTAAGAGATCTAAGAGATGGGAGAGTCAAAAGGATGACTACGCTTTAGGTAAGAAATCACTATCTAACTCCATTAAGTTCCTATTCATTGATTCTTAATACATGATGTGATAAGATTGCATTTGAATGTTTTGAAGGATCGGTGAAAAGAAAGGAAGCTTGATAAGAGAGCAAGATGAATCTAATCACAAGAGATGGATCTTGATCGCATGGACTTGAAGATTGGATTTTGAGCTTAGATAGTTATGATAGAGTTGTTAGAAATTTTCCTTTTACGTAGTTTTCAATAGATTTTGCATTGTAAGGATAAATGTTTTTTCCGCTGCTTTTATAAACAAGATAAATTTTGTTTGACTAATTTATTTATTTGTTTACTTCCTTACAATGAAATCGTTATGAAAATTGATGTTTGTATATTTCTACAACGAATGGATATGATTCTTAGTTATGTTATTTATGGAAATGTCGAGAATTTACCAAATAGGGAGAGTTTCTCATCGCCCAAAATTCAATTGGACTGAAATTTGGAATCACGCAACTTGGTTGCATGATGAATGAGAAATTTCATATTTGGAAATTAGACAAATTCGTTGACAAAGTGTCAAGTGAAGGACTAGGAGATCGAGTACACAAAGTTGTGTGTTGATCAAGTTCACCATAAGAGTAACAAAGATATTCGTCATGATTTACTAAAGGCTTAGTAAATATGATTAC